CTCTTTCTCTCTCTCTGTCTTTCTCTCCTGTCTCCATGTCTCCTTCTCCCTCTCTCACTCTCGCTGGTCTTTCTCTCCCTCTCTCACTCTCGCTGGTCTTTCTCTCCCTCTCTCACTCTCGCTGGTCTTTCTCTCCCTCTCTCCCCCAATAGCCAAACAGCCAGAGCCAGATCCGATCCACCATAAAAAACCCCTACCTTAGACAGCCCGTCCACCAGAACCCTCTCTCCAACGGCCTGCCCAGAAGTCAACAGCCTCAGCTGCAGGTCCCGGTCACATTCCAAGGCCAAGGTCAGTTTGGAGGCCAAGGTCAAGGCCAAGGACAGGCTAGACCCCAGGGTCAAGGTCAGGTCGGAGGTCAAGGAGGTCAAGTTGGAGCTCGAGGCCAGGTCGGAGTAGGTCAAGGTCAGGTCGGAGTCGGTCAAGGTCAGGTCGGAGTAGGTCAAGGTCAGGGTACAGCCCAGGCTCAAGGTGGAGTCCAGGTGCCGACGGCTGGCCAGGGTCCGTTCCAAGGCCAAGGTCAGTTCCAAGGCCAAGGCCAGTTCCAAGGTCAAGGCCAGTTCCAGGGTCAAGGACCGTTCCAGAGTCCCACTGACCCCGCCAACGTGCCCATCTTCGTGCCCAACCCAGCCTCAGTGGCCACCGCCCCGCAACAGAAACAGAAGCAGAAGATCGTACAGGAGACCGACGAGGGGAAAATTGTAGCCCAAGACGCCTAATTTCACAAAATGTTTGAGGCTCTTTTGATAAGATAGATATGGAAAAGCTCTAGATGTTTGAGGATTTTTTAATGAAATAGATAGTGAAAACCTATAGACCAAAACGTCTTATTTCACAGAACATTTGAGGTTTTTTTTTATAGGATAAGATATGATAGGATGAGATGAGAGAAACCTATAGACCCGAAAGTCTCATGTCACGGAATGTTTGAGAGTTTTTTTTATAAGATAGATAAGATAAGGGATAAATATAGCCTCATAGATTATTGGAAGGCAGGTTACCGTAAAATAAATAACACACCGGGGAGAGGGAAAGAGAATTCGACTAAGTTTATAGGAGGACCAATGGTGAATACTTTATATAAAACAATCGAAAAGAGAGAGGTTGAGATTTAGAATTTGAGAAAGAAGATTTTGGTGGGATTTTTATTTCCATCTCCTGGAGAAAGGTGTTACTACAGTAAGTCAATCCAGAGCCTGATCTACGGATTGCATTTTTTGTTTTGTTTTGTTTTGGGTGAAAATAAAATTTCTAATATGAAACTGTTGACGACTTTGTTAGTGTTTTCATCTTCTAATCATCATCATCATTGCCTTTCTCACCCTGGGTCAGGATATAGGCCACGAGCAAACACTCTCCACCTTTCCCCTATCCTGGGCTAGTCGCTTGATGTCACTCCACCTCTTCCCACTTTTCTGTACATCCATTTCCGTGACTCTTCTCCAGGTTCCACGAGGTCTTCCCCTTGTCCATCTTCTAAGCTGTCTTTTAACCTTCTAATATAGTGTTGCAGCAAGAGAGAATTAATTATGAGAATATTGACAAGCCATACATACAACGTTCAGCTGATTGGCTGATCTCTACTGGGCTAACTCTTTGAGGACATTTCTTCGACAACGTAAGCAAACAAGTTGTTTTGAAGGTTTTTAAAAAAGAGCCTAACTTCGTTAATCATGTAGCTTTTTCCTATCTGATTTCTTTGTCTGAAACTTTAAAAGATCGACAAAATGATGCTTGTAAAAAAGGCTAAGCAAATGTGTGTTTCTGATTTGAGTGTGGACGTTTGAAATGTGCCGAAACGTTTACTTTGGTCTGCTGCTGGTCGGTAAGATGTGTTTAGTCTTTAAAGAGTTAATATCCTTAGGCCATCAGTTTAGTATTCAGGTGTATTCGTTATGGTTGATGGTAGCGGTGCTGTGGTTACAGGACTGTGTCCGAGGGTTCAATACCTCCGACCTCAGCACCCTGCTCTCACTGTCCTGGGAAATGAGAAACCTGTCCTCCTTTGTACATGAAGATTTGGACTGTACTTTGCTCATGTGGGGTAAATGTAGCCACTCTGTAGGTGAGTCCACGCTACTTTACAGGACATTGGGAGTAGGGGATGGAGAGAGAGAGGGGGAAGGGAGAGAGAACGAGAGGGGGAGAGAGGCACAGAAAGAGAGAGGGACAGAGAAACAGATACACATAGAGACAGAGACACACACACACACACACACACACACACACACACACACACACACACACACACACACACACACACACAGAGAGAGAGAGAGAGAGAGAATAGATACACAAAGAGACAGAGAGATAGAAAGAGTGTGAGAAACAGATACACAGAGAGACAGAGAAGGCTGCGGACATAAAGTCAGTCTTAATTCAGAGCAAGAATAAGGCTCCAAGTTATATAACTCTAAGTAGAGCATTCTCTCAAAACACTTTTACTCAATTATTTCCCTTTATCTCCAGCATGGCATGACGAGTCAGATGAACAGATCTGAGCGCATTTTTTTCATAACGTCTTATTGCCTCCAATGCGAAACGTGAAAGGAATTACGATGTTTGTTTTAGTAAGGTTTTACGGCGTTCGCTAATGCAGAAGGTCATAAACTTGAGCGCAAAGGTATGGATGTCAACAGAGGAGTCCTCACAGGGAATCAGACTTACTCGTCTCAACTCTCAAGCCTCAACAGCACAAAGTCTGCTTCGACTATCAAGGCACCCTGAAAGAAGCAGTTCACAAGAGAGTGACAAACATACAAAAAAGTAGAGGGGAAATGACGATAGTAAGGATGAGGAAAGAAAAAGCAGCAGTTCCCCCTATGTTGTTCCAGCACAGAACGAGCATGACATTGATAAATCAGCCCATTACAATTCTACTGTACATAAGAACATGTTAATGTCCCCCCTTTGGGAATGGCCTGAAGACAACTTCAGTCAGCAGCACTGCCCTGGGGGGGAGGGGGGGTGGGGGGGGGAATTACGCGACAAAAGAGAGTTGGAGCACACAGTCACAAGACCAGAAGAGATCATAAATGACGAACCGAAATACTCGTTTGAGTAAGAAAGACATTTACCTAAAGGAGGCACTCGTGGCCAAGAGGTTAAGGGGTGCGCCTGTCTTTCAAAAGGTCCCAGGTTCGAATCCGGATAGTGACGGATAATTTTCTTTTCTCAAATGTTCTCCTTTTGCATCCCATCCTGCACTCTAACAATGTTCTGTCGTCTGCTTTCGTCTCTAATTTCTGCCTCCACCCCTCACCTCCTTCGCCCCCTCCTCTGGGCTCCTGACTCTTTCTGAAGCCTTTCTACTGCTACTCCTTTGCTCCTTCTTACTGCTGTCTTTCAGCCACACCCCAGATCTTATGGTAAGAAAGATCTAAACCTAGCCTTTCCGGACAAGGGCTAAAAATTTCGGAGGTCCCGTGTGCAAGCTGCGCACGTTAAAGATCTCTTGGTTGTCCAAAATCAATAAGAGTAGGCTTTGGCCGCCACCCGAGCGAAATTCAAAATTTCCTGCAAACTGAAAATGTTTGATGTGTCTTGCGTGCTCATAATATGACCTTATGCAGTTGCGAGCACCGTAAAACACCCCCCCCCCCAAAAAAAAAAAAATTGCTTAAATTGCGTTGTTTTACAACAATGCATAGAGAGAATATGAATGCCTTGATTAATAAAACTACAAAACAAGCTGAACTTCTGTTCGAAGCTCTAGGAAATATGATACTTTGTACATTTTAGGAAGACGTATTTTATTTATTTATTTCAAAAAGAAATTTGGAAAATAGTATTCTAACAAAACAATAGTGTAAAACAAATATCTAGAAGCATCGTGGTGGAATCAGGCGCTCGTCAATTTTTGGGAATGTGAAGTTTTTGGTATCTTCTAAGCTTGTTCACTTGCCTTTATTTGGATTTTTTAAAAATACATTTATCTTGAATACAAGTCGAGATATATGCAAATGAAGGAGGTGGGGGTCACCTGTTTTCAGAGGTAAAGTTAGTGAGAAAATGGCCGCCAAAGATTAGTTATTTCCTTAGCTTAAGATTCCGTGGTAACTAGACATTTACATTTCTTGTGCCTTTAATCAACGTTTTTCAGAAAAATCCACACAGAAATGAGTTCTTTAATGGGCAGGAAAGGTGCTGAACCAAAAAACAAAAATTTGATAAAAATTCACAAACCGTCGGAAAAATGCGAGTTTCTTCACTTTGATTATTTTGACGAGAGTCTGATTCCACCACGCTGCCTCACATATCTAAATTGGAATGATTTCTGCACAGGGTAGAAAATCAGTCCTTGAAACTCCGACCCAAATTATTATCTCGATCACTAAAACAAAACCCCCAAAAATATCATCGCCATGCATTATTAAACAGAGAAAAACGAATTTGACGTAGTAAAAGCATTTATTTCATTTTTAATTCATACAATGCGTGATATATATATACAGGAGATCAACGAATTACCATTCTAGTAATTGTATTATGCACTTAGTAGGCTCAGTTCTGATATTCTTGGTATATGCTTCGTTTTCGGTACTTTTTTTCGGAGTGGCTAGCGTTTAGCTATACCAACGAATTCGGTCAAATAGCCTGACCCGTGGGGATCTCTGCGCATGTTCCGGGCGAACGAATTCGATCTCTCTCTCTCTCTCTCTCTCTCTCTCTCTCTCT